TCACGACGAAGTACCTTAAGATGATTCAGAGGCCACTTGTCAAAAGCTTTGAGCTCGTCTTCAGCTTCGCATCGAAAGATTTCGTGCTCAGAATCTTCCAGTTTTGACTCAACCCCACGAAAAGGGAGTCATTTCTTGATCAAATTTCAACTCTGTGACAGAGGATAGTTGATGTGGACGCAATTTGTGTCTTTTAATCTTTGCTCTATTTTCATTACACGATAATGAGCAAAGAGGGGCAGCTGAAGACACTGAAATTTGCCCATCATAATACATACATATATATAATATTATGTTATGTTATAAATTATAATTTATTACATCCTTAAATTTCTATTACAGGCCCAAAAAAATAAAGGCCCAAATCCCAAGGGCCCCAGCCAAAACCCAAACCCGTGCATACTTAGGGTTTCCAAAGAACCCTAGCCTCACACGCTCCATCAGCGCCGTTCTCCCCTGTTGAAGACCCAGCGCCGCGCAGCAGTCCCAACACCCGAGTTTCACGGCCGCACGCCTCCTTTCACGGTCATTTCTCACATGTTCAACAAACACAACGACGTGAGATACAAGGATACATCCACAACAAACACAACGACGTGAGATACAAGGATACATCCACAACCAACCAAGCAGTGATTTAGTCCAAATAAAATGCTAGAAAATCGGGACTAAGACTAGTATTCTTAGACTATAAATACATGTAAAGTGAACATCTTCAAAAAAAAAAAAAGAGAGGCAGAATACATAAAGGATTACCACAGAAATCTTACTAGAGTACTAGAAAAATACAGAGGAGAGGAAGCACTTGTACCTTTTCGAACAGCAAAGGAATATAATAAAGGTAGTACCTTTTTTTCGTTTCGTTGGTGACTTGCATGCGTTGTTGTGTTGTTTTCACTCAAAAACATCAAGGTTTTCGGCCGATGAATGAGATGAGGCCCTTATCTTCGAAAATATTTTTTAGATCTAATATTCTCTAAAGCTCGGGTTTTTTTAAAAAAAACACTTGGACTTTTGAGTAAAGAAGAGGAAGAGCTCTTTAAAAAACGGTTTTTTGTTGTGTACCACCACCCATGACCGGCGGCCGGCGAGGTGAAAGCCACCGTGTTCTGGAAACGAGTGGCGGCGTTCATCATTTTGGATGAACAAACTAAAGAAAACGAGAGAGAGGGGAGGGTTTTCGTCTGGGGAAGAGAGAAATGAGGAGTATTAAAATTTTCTTTTTCTTTTGGCTTTCATATTTGCAACGACCCGCGCCTGATCCTTGACTCGACCCATACCTGCAAGCGACCCACGTGTTTCCATTTAAATAGGGTAAACCACAGTTTTGGTCCTCCGTTCTTTAGTTCTTCTATTATCGCCCCAATTCCTCCTAAAATTGATACACACTTCTGTTTTTCATTCAATTCGGTCCCATGTATTTAAGTTTTAATTGTTATTATTTCATCTATTTGTTTTATTTTATTTATATGTATATTTTTCTTAATATTTTATTTATTTATATTACTATCATTTTCTTTTATTTATATTTTATTTCTATTCTTTTTATATACGTTAATATATATAAACTTCTTAAATCATTAGCTTCTCTAGTTTTATTTTATTTTTAACTATATATACATATGTTTTTTCTCTAATATTATATGTATACACGTTTCATCATTCTCATTTGCTTTGTATTAAAACACCATATCTCATTATCATTATATTATATATAACCTAACGTTTTGAATTATCACTCCTTTAGGCCCTATCCCCTCTTGTAGATGACCAAACCTTTATCTTTTTTTTAATCCGTATCTTTTTTTTAAAGTTTGCATCCTTTTTTTTATTTTCGGTGGAGTGGCGTTTTTCCTATTTATTATTGTTATTACTTAATAGTTATATATATTGTCATTTTTAGTTTCTCGTGTTTTATTACTATTTTTTTATCCATTTTTTTTCTTTTTCTGTATTTGTATTTGTATTTTTTACTTTTGCTTAATTTTTCTAATTTGTTCTATTAATTTATTAATTATGTGTTTATTTTCATTTTATCAATTTATTATCTTATTTATTTATTTATCTTAGCTTTTTTTTTACTAATTCTATCTTCCTTCTTGCTTGGGTTTATTTATTTTATTCATTTATTCCTTATTTTTCATCTAACATTTTATGATTTTCTTTTAAAGGCATGATTTAAATCCGTCAAAGGTAAGTTTTGGATCGCTATTTTACCTTTTAATTTAAAATGTAATTTTCTTAATCAAAGACAACTGGAAAGTACGTAGTACCGAAAGGACGGTTCAAGGGTGCTAATCATTCCTTAACCGTAACCGACTCCCGAACCCGACACATTTTTGGTAAGACGCAGATCAGGTAAGAAATAGGGTATCCGATCAACCCATTTATTTTTAAATAAATGATCGGTGGCGACTCCCAATCCATTTTCCTAAGTCGAAACCCAATTCCAGGGCCCAACCGAAAGACGGTTACGACACTTACCTTTGTCAACGTGTGATCACAAATTCTATGCCAACAATTGATAAGATTTTCATGGGTCCTGCAAATTCCTTCTCACTCTACAGTGATAATCGATAGATAAATCTTATCACGAAAGGTGTTTTCTTTTCCACTCAAATACTCAATCTGTGAAAATCGATAGGCATGATATGTAAATAATTATAAGGTAAACCACCCCATTAGTCACTCAACTACTAAATTTGTTCTATTTTGTTCACCAAAGTAAAAATCTTATAAATTTAGTCGCTAATTTTACAAATTATTATCAATTTGATCACAACCGTTAAGTTGATAACGAATTTACAGGTAAATTGTTAACAATGGAAACGCACGTGTTATGTTTTGAAAAATCAAGTTGGTAAAATGCTGAAAGAATTTACAAGTAGAGGAGTTGAATGTAGATTTTGTTTTGGTAGATCAGAAGGTCGAAAACGCCATTACAGATAACTAAGCTGTTGCGTCGTTTTATGGGTAGGAGTAGTGTAGAGACGTGTTTATCTCTTGGCTAGTCTAGTCTAGCCTCTCATTTCATTAAGGCTGCTAGGTTATTGCGTCGTTTTCTGCCTACGACTAGGGACTTTTGCTTCTCTTGGCTTCCCTCTCATTGCATTCCATGAATATAGGAATTTGATCATCAGTATTAATTCAATTAAATAAAATTATAAAACAATATTTGTTAATGAAATGTCAATGTAATAAAATGATTTTTTAAGTATTTGTAGATTATGACAAATGTCGTTACTATAAATCTAATAACTAAAAATATAAAAAATGTGTTTATCTTAATCCTAAGTAAATTTAGTTTTATGTGACTCATACATGATATAGATGCATATATATATATATATGTGTGTGTGAAATCATAGCTGGATTAAAAGAGTAAATGCATCATCTCAATGAGATTTTAGTGGTTTATGAAAATGTAATATTAGATATAATTTTATTAAAAAAATAGTTAAGTGAGTAAAATAAAAATATTAAAATAAATAAGATACCAAATAAGTAATTTAGCTTTTATTTTTATATAAATTTGTCACTTTTTTTCTGTATCCGATATTTAACATAGTTTGTCTAGATTTCTTTACAAAAACCGAACAAAATTGATTGCCTGGAATAGTAGGCACCGTCACTAGGGAGGATTTAACAAGGTTAACCCTTCCCGCCGTAGAAAAGAGAGCATCCCGTAATTAGTGCACAAGTTTTGTACAACAACCGTAGTTTTAGACCAAATTTCCATAAACATCCCTTCCAAACCTGCCAAAGAATGATTCTCCGATGACTGGTCAACCTCCTTCCTTAATGGTTTGGCAAGTCAAGTTAAAACTAATTACTCGAGGAGTGAAAATGAGCATACATTCCTCAATATATCAACCTTTCAAAATATTCCCAAATCCATACGTACATAAAACATAACCTAACCTAACCAAGTGAAACATCTTAGTAGTTGAGGTAAAAAATTACTCCTACTCTGTAAAAAAATACATAATTAACGTGAAAAACTTATCTACCCACTTAAATAATAATTAACTTTAAATTATTCTATTTCCATCTTGATAATTATTTTTTTAATTAAAAATTATATTTTAATTTCTTATCTCAAATTACTCAAAATGTTATCTTTATTAAAATGTTTCTTACGGATTAAACCCATCTGGTGATCTTAGTACTTAAAAAGAATGTTATTCTCTCAAGAGATATTGGGTTCGAACAATTACGTATACAGGGTATGTATACATTACCAATGACTAAGAAATATTATGAATAGATATTATCTTGTAATCACCCTATATTAAATTACAAAAAATTAAATGAATTTAGTAATTAAAATTGAAAATTTTAAATTAAAGATAATGCAATTTTTTTCATAACAATTAAATATTTGATAGGATTAGTTCGAACCTTGAATCATTTATGATCTATGATACTTCAATAAAAGGATAAATAATTTTAGAAATTATTAAAAAATCATAATAGCTATATACTTTTAATCAACACTTATAATTGTTGTGGGTGTATGAATCTATACACTAATAATATATCAAATATAAACCCATTTTGTTTATAATCATAAAACTTTTATGAAACATTGAAACACACTTAAGCCGAGTATATTACATCTCCATTCATTGTTCAATCCACCGTATAACTACAATGAGGTTAGGTCGTTAAAGGTGTCATGAGGTTTCTGCATTACCTGAACCGACTGCCAGAAGGTTGAATTCGCGCTCCAGACCCCATGTAGACTCGTTCTGGCTGTGAGTGAAGGTATATTACTGAAAGTACCCGTTGTATGCTATCAACGATAATACAGCCCTAGAAATGAAAAGCGAAAACAGTTGGAGTAAATCCAAAAACCATGTACATTGATGCATGCCAGCTTTCAACAAATGCGCTATGTACTCTAAGACTCCCTTATAGAGAAACCCCTACCCTCCTTTCTGAGTTGGCATTATTTTAATGTTATGATCTAATAACGAAAGGAAACCGTAAATGAAAGCAAAAGGAAATGAGTACATGATACAATTTTGAAGTAGAGACACATCCAAGGACTGACCTACACAATGCGATCTCGGATGAGAATGAATCAGCCACTTTTGTCCACCTTGCGTACCACCGCATAGCTGCACCAGAGAAATGCAACTTTATAGCACACAAATGTTGTGGATGGTTATCTAGCCAAAACCATTTAACAAGGAATAAATAATATTGATAATGGTTTCTAGATAGAATCTGATCAACATATTTCTCTGCTAAGGAGCTTGAACGAGTTTTACGTACCATCATAGTCTAGTTTCCCCTCATAAACATATTTAGCCAGGACATATTTGAGCATTGCTCAAGGAAAAGATATGTAAATTAGCTTAAACATATTCACTTGATCAGTATTTAAACAACTTGAAGTGTTACTTAGGATAATAGGGATCATGATTCATGAGGTTGCCCCCAGTGAAGCTGTTCCCTACTGTACTAATGAGCTAACAAATACTTTAAATCGGGTATAATGTGCTTTACTTTCTGACTCCCGCAGAAACAGCATTCTGAAGCACATGACGGTGAGCTGGGTCTAGTGCACCATTCACAGAATCGGGTAGTATTGATCCAAGAAAACTAGCCGACTTTTTGCTCCTGCTTAGCAGTACAAATTTGAGAAAGGTCACATAACTCTGTAAATCATTCATATATATTTATGGGCAGACACGGATGCAATGACAAAAAGGCTACTTAAAACTTACACAAGATATGTTACTTCTTTTGCATTGAAAAGTATTGAGGATATTTATGACCTTACCACGGATGTAGCAAATTTTCGATGGTCTCCTCTCAGGTTCATTTAAACTATCATAAATTCCCATTAATTATTCAAGCCTGCCAAGTAAAATGTCACTCATGTTTCCTAAATAATCAATAAACTAAAAGTTTTCCTGAAATATTGAGAAAGGAACAAACAGTTCTTCCCATATAAAAGAGCAAACGGACACATTATTCACAAAAAGAACATACGAACTTCAAGTGGTCAAACATGATTAAATATCCTTCAAACCTATTAGTTTCTGTTTTGAGATGCAGTAGAGTACCCGATGGAAGGTACTAAAGGGCAAAGGGTCTCTATATAGATTGTCAACATTAGTTGTACTAAAAGTTAAACATACGTATAAAAAGAAAGAAATACAAAAGGATTGAAACTGAAAAGCCAACAAGATAACATTTTCACCTACAAAGGGACAATCTAAAAGTTAAGGACAAGGGAGCTCCAATATATCCAGAATGTTATATGTCAAAGAAAAGGGATAAAAAAAGGCAAACAGTAAATATATATAATCTACATTATGCTTATACTGTGGAATAAAATTTATAAGATATAAAAATGCTGTAATTTTTAAATTCTTTTATACTACAGGTACTAATTAATAGGCGTGTTGATTGTCAGAAATATTTTCCAGTACACACTAGAAAGAGATTTTATTTGTAGTCCTCACCTCTGATTTGTCTCAAACCCCAGAGAAGATATGAACAGAACCTGAAGAGCTTAGCGGCTGCAAAAATATCTGGAAGTCGTAATGATGGAGAAAATGAGAATGAAAATATGGTTGATGGGTATGATCCCCTCTGAAAACTGTATGACAGAAACTAAAAGATGGCTGGATTCCATATATGAAGTTAAAATTTAAGGGGACATAAACTCTAATAGCATGCTACTAAAGGAATTCAGGTTATTACAAGTCAAGTTTACATTCTAATTTTTCGCCTCCAAAGGATAATTTTAGCAATAACAACCTGCATTTACTACTATGTTTCCTAGTACCAAAGACACACTTCATAAATCGAGTCCTATCAAATTGACTGAAAATGACAGTTTGTCTTTGCAATTCAGCAGCATGAGGATGTCATCTAATCTCATGATTACTTTCCTTTTTTCAAGTAGCAAGGAATAATTGTAGCTCTAACAGCCTCCATTACTAAATGATCTAGTACAAAAGACACTTCATATATGAGTCTCATCAATTATTCTGTACCTTAGTTGCTTCTAAAACCAGATGAACTCTGATTATGGTTCCCTGTTCAGATGCTGTTGCAATGTACTTCCCATTGGTAGATAAAGCAATTGCAGCCAAAGGAGACCGGTGAGCATCTATCTACAGTTGATTCAATTAATGCAAAATATAAAAAGTGACTGATCTAAAGGATTAAATAGCACAGAGGAAAAAATCTCTCTTCCATTCAGGGTAATCTTATAATTGTCTATGCAATATTAAAAAACAGAGAAGTTGATATCAAATGAGTAGAAATGGTCATTCCCAGCTCAAACGAAGTACTATATTGGTGAAAAAAGATGAATTCCTATACATTGAATAATTTCCGTACATCAGGGCATGTATACATGAATAAGAAATTAACTGAAACTAACTATCTTTATAACTATTTACTTAGCTGGCATAACAACTAAGACTAACTCTAGTTATTAAGAAGGTTAACAGTAGGAATACCCAAACTAGAAACTTTCAGCTCCTAAAATTATTGATTCTCAGTGACAGCAAGGTAAATACAAAGAATATATGATAAGGGAAGGGTAACTATTAAAAATAGATGCCAAGGTTCTTGAGCTATTCATCCCTTGCTCATAGTTTATATTCACATGAGCTGCTTTACTTTTTTCTTTAAGAAATGGTTTTCATAATTTAATTACTTTGCACATGACAGCTAGTACATCTAATGTGCTTTTATATTAAAAAGAAAACTCGAGAATAATATCACATTAAATGCACTACAGTTGGGGATAAGAAAATATTGCAGAATGTTGTCACTTGTCCTATGAGTAAATATACTTGTATGAACCAACTTAATTACTCTTTCAAAATTTTGATTATTTTCTATGTCGTAGGTCAAATTTCTAGAGTATAAAATAAGAAAGTTTCTATCACAACCTCACAATGCAGCTGAAGCTCCATGACATTGTGCACTAATACAGCTCCTTTAGTCATGCTGGCAGGAAGAGCCAAGAAGCAACCATCCAAACTAGGGGAGAATGCACAAAGTCCTTAACGAAAGAAAATAACAGAAAATTAAAATTTTATATATATAAAACCTTCATGAACCAAATAAAGAAAATGTTATTTGTTCAGTGAGTATTTACATAACTCGACGCTTTCCAGTTACCACAACTGTACTATTTTCAAGTTCATAATTAACTATTAACAATCACCCTTCCAGATAAGTTTTTCATAGATTAGATGCTCTCATTGTTCTTCAAAAGCCCAATGATTCACGGAGCTCGATGATTAAAATATGAAACTCTAACACACAATCTGTTTCTCTATCTTTTATTTGAGAACAGTCTATGATCCATTTCTTACCTCAATCTAGTCCGTAATATTCATAAGAGATTTGAGCTATTAACCGAAAGGATATCCAAAAATAAGAAGTGGATGATTTTGAAGGACAGAAAATAACCTGGCTACAAGTCAACTTTTGCATACCTCAGAGTGGAATAATAGTCATGCTCTCTTGCAACAAGTTACTGCATTAAGAAATAATTCAGACGCCAACATAACTCTACCCAAAGGAGTTCAGCGAAAAAGGAGAAGAAAGAAATTACTCTTTGGCTTTGAACACAGTGCTTTGCTTGACAAGGATGATGGAAACCTTTTCAACCCAAAGTCGTCATCTCTTGAATTCGATTTTTTTTAAGATTTATGAGATAATTGGGATAGTGTCATCTCTTACATACAAATTATATCATATACCGAATCGAAAATTTCATTAAAACTCAAATAGATAATATATAAAAAATTTAATTTTCTAAATTAAATAATTAATAATTTTAATTTCTATAAGTCATTTTTTAAAAAAGATTTTTATATACTTAAAATTTATATTTAAACCTTAAATTCAAGATTGAATTGAGTTTAATATCTATAAGTTGAAGTTAAGTTTTAATTTTAAAATTTTGAACTCGAATCGAATAAACAAATTTTAAACACGTAAACTTTTGAATCGCTCGAACTCTCTCGAGTATACTTGGTGTGAGTATACTTAAACTTGATACATAACCCTATACAAACTTACTTAAAAAATAAGATAAAACCAACATAAAACTGTGATGGATATATTTAAATTACAATCCCCGAATATACATATATAATCTTAACATCAAAGTTTTCAAACTTGTAAAGAATCTAATAAAGAATTCCTACTCCCTATATATTTCACTTTTTTACCTTGGACCGGAGAGTTCCATGGCATAGGAATCCAAAGAATGTTCATCATCATCATCAATTCCTGTGCCCAACATGCTTCTCGATTCATCATAACTCTTTCCATCATGTTTTGATCCACTGGTAGGGGGTGGCATACTTTTGTTGCCCAAGCTGTGAGGAAAGTGGTTCAAGGTGGTATCGCTATGATTATGCGAAGCAGCCCATTTCTCAGCAAGGCCATCGCCTTCGAGCATCCGGCCCACTTCGGACATTCTCGGTCGGTGGGCCGGAAGGTACTGAGTGCATAGCAAAGCCACTTGAAGCATCTCCCCCACTTCTATCCTGTCATAGTTGTTCCCTAGCTCTCTGTCCACCAATACTTCCACTTTCTTTTCTTGCTGTATTTTCTTTACCTGTCACAATGAAATTCCGAATGTTTCTCCATCAGCTTGATTTCAACTTTTTAGTATGATAAAAAGTTCAAATTCCTAATACATCTTCCCCAAAGAGTATAAAAGGAGATTCTTTCATGCAAAGGTACCGACTTAGAGGATAAATGAAGGTAAACTATGACTAGTTAACAAAAACAATCAGCAGTCATCCTAAACCTGAAGGTTTTCCGGAAAAATTATCCTCGATCCTTTTACCAGAAAAATCATCTAGCATGCCTAGAGAGGTCTTAGGGGATCATGCAAATGGAAAGCAAGACATAAATATCGCTATAGTTGCTGAGCAAACTAACCCATTCAAGCATTGCTCCTTTCTGACTAACTGTTTTTCCAAACTCGAGAGCTCTCATTCCAGTTATGAGCTCTATCAAGAGAATGCCAAACCCAAACACATCAGTTTCTCCGAAGACTGGCCAGTTGAAAGGTACTCAGGCGCAATGTGCCCAACGGTGCCACGGACAGCAGTGGTGACATGGGAATCTGCATGATCGAGGAGTTTTGCAAGGCCGAAGTCACCAACAATAGCTTCACAATAATCATCCAGAAGAACATTAGCTGCCTTCACATCTCTGTGGATTATTTTTGGATCACATTGCTCATGTAGGTAAAGAAGTCCCCTCGCAGCTCCAACCGCAATCCTCTTCCTCGTATTCCAGTCTAGAGCCGGTTTTCCTGCCAAACCCAATTCAATTACATTAGAGGTATGCTAAGTTGTCCTCGAATCTAATAAGAACATATCATATTCCTCATTTCCAGTCTTAGATTACAGCCTATTAAGCTAACCCATTTTAGTTTGCTACCCATGTTGAAATAAGCAATTAAACCATAGCAGCTATGAAACTCGAGAAAGTTAGATAGGCAAACATTTATAAAACACGTGAACCGGCTGTAAAGAATGGATCCTCCCTCTTGGTATTTATTATTTCATAGTCAACCCAACTGAATTGAAATGAAAATACAGTAAATAAATGATGCCCAAAATGACCGCCTACAAGGGTTGGACTAACATTTAATGAAGACTTTTCTCAACTGGAAACTATTTGGAACAACAAATAAATTTAAAAAGAATAAAAAAGGGAATAATTACTACAAACACGGTCGGGATCCACAAACTGGACCATAATTTTTCACATTTCGTGCAATGGTGGTCCATGGTAATATTAGTCATTGAAAGTGCAACAATGTAGTGGTTGTGCAGTCATTCACCAAACAAAATAGGTAATCAACTTGTCCGGCATGAGAATTGAACGAGAGAAGTTACTGAAAAGCTAGGACTAACCTCTGAGCCTGGATGCCACACTGCCATTAGACATGTACGGGTAGACGAGAAGTCTCTCGTTAGAAGTAGCAAGGTATCCAATTAAACGAAGCAGATTACGGTGAACCGCCAAGTTGATCATCTCCAACTCAGTCCTGAATTGCGACTCCCCAAAACTTCCGGTCAAGTCTTTTAGCCGCTTCACAGCCACAAGAGTATTGTCTCCCAACTTTCCCTTGTAGACATTACCAAAACCTCCTGTCCCTAGTATGTTCTTGGAACTGAAGTTGTCCGTTGCAAGCTGAAGTTCCCTGAAAGTGAAGTTTCTAAGGTTACCGAGGCTAACAAGGCCCTCTTCCTGTTTGTCTGCAATATACATGTGACAATATTAAATCACTTTAAACATCCATATAAAAGAAACAAATTTAACATTTATTTAGTTGTCACCAACCATTATATTCAAAATCGTTAGCCTTTTCCGTTTCTTTCTGTGACAAAATAGTGCAAATGCGAGGAGTATGAGAAAGGCAAAACTGAGGCTGATTCCGAGTGTAATAGCTACCCTCTTAGATTTTTGCTCCCCTAATTCACGAGGCAAAATAAGAAATACATACATAAACCATTAGTAAGGAAAGGATAAATAGTTGAGGAGTGTTGCAAGTAGGTTTGAAGAGAGTTACCATTTGATGAAACCAAGGAAAATGAGAAGGGAACAGCGTCGGCAGTTCCTGAACAAACTTCAGTAGAGCTGCTTCCACAAATCAATGGATTTCCCACAATACTACAATCCATCCACCAATATGCAAAATTAGAACTAAATGATTATATTAATTTATCAGAGAGCTTCAGCAAATAATCATACTTGAAAGTTCTGTCAGGGAACTTGGGTACAGGTCCACTGAGATTGTTATAAGAAAAGTCCCTAAACACCAATAATCAGATTCTGAAAATCAAAGCAGCGGTTGGAGAAATAGATGGAAAATGAAGAAATCCACGCTTACAAGAAAGCAAGTTGAGGGATTTTTGTTAAAGATGCAGGAAAAGGCCCAGACAAGCTATTGTTGTTCACCCTCCTACTCTCATTACCGGACAGAATGAAATGTACTCAGATGCCATAATCACAGTTAAAAATAACACAAACATTTCACAAACAGGAAATGCAAACATAAAAGCATATGATTTGAATCTACAGCAAGATTTTTACTACAATTTAGGACCCCATCCTAGAAATCTATTAAACTCTACGTTCCTTGGCATACGAACAGAAAACCAGTGAAAAAAACTTACAGGTACTGCAAACTATTTAGCTGTCCAAATGACCCTGGAACTTCACTGGTGAATCGGTTGTTAGATAGATCCAAAGTCTGCAGTTTCGGAAGAGACCCAAGCTCGGGTGGAATTTTACCAGATAAGTTGTTGTTTTGCAGCAACCTTCATCAAAGAAACAAAAAATAAAAATGCTAATTCAGAGCAACAGGAAAACAAATTTGTGATGTCTTCTTACACTTGGTGAAGATTGGTGAGATTTCTTATTGTCCCGGACAAAGTTCCTGATAACGACTGACTTGGAGCTCCCCTGAACCAAAAAACAAAGCAAACATTAACAGAAGAAGAAAAAGAAATTAAAGAAACAAGTGTTGAATAGAGTAGAGAAACTAACAGGCCAATAACAAGATTTTCAGAAGAGCAAGTGATCATTGCCCAACTACAAGGATCAACAGAGTCTTCATCCCAGTTATTTAACACCCCGTGTGGATCATTCAACTCTCTCCTTAAACTTATCAATGCTTCCACTACAAAAACATAAGGAAAAATATCAAACCCCAGGACAAAAATTACTTTAAAAACAAGCAAATGAATTATCACCTACCTTCATGGTTGCGAGGCTCATATGACAAAGAAACAGTAGAAGAAGAAAGGATGATGAAGAAGAGAAGATAAAGACCCATTTTCTTACCACTCAACAAAATCAAAAATGCTAGTGAAAGACCAACATTCTCTCTGGTTTTAAATTCTGGGTCTTCTAAACAAAAAAAAACTTGTCACCCTTTTTCTTTTCCCTGCGGCCAGGCTTGCTTTATTGGGTTCTTAACTGAGTCACCCTCTCTCTTTTTCTCAGTCCACAAACTCAACTTTTGAAATAAACAATACCTAATACTTGTCATAAACAAAGTAAAAGCCTAAATAGTAAAGACTGTCCATTTTCATTTCGTTTCCTGTAAAAATTTCGAAAAAGAAAACTGAAATATAGAAAATCAGGTGGGTGATACGGGTGTCAGGGCGAGAGTGTGCAGAAATTGAGAGAGAGACGTGAGTACTTGTAAAATTTGTACTCACTGGACTCCACTGCTTCACTAACATGCACCCATTATTTATTTATTTATTTTTAAAATATTTTGATTCACTTTTTCTACTATTTCACTAACGTTGGAGAAGAAATAAAGGCAGTGAACCAAAATGGAGGAGGGTATGTCATTCGTATGGGGCTGATACTAATGTTTTAATATATTAAACATTATAAAAAATCAATTTAATTCGTTATAAATATTATTTTTTAAATTATAGCATCAATATTTATAGTTAAAATATTATTATACTCCTGTTTTAAGAAAAACTGTTTTAGGGTTTTTGAGGGGTAGGCTATGTGTTTGGTGTAGCTACACTCTAGTAATCAACTCATCATTATAACCTACGTTTTTGTTTTACTTATTTTCATTTTATAATGGTATA